CATAGCTCTCATCCTGCACACTACCATCATAGCTCTCATCTTGCACACTACCAGTATAGCTCTCATCCTGCACACTACTAACATAGCTCTCATCCTGCACACTACCATCATAGCTCTCATCCTGCACACTACCATCATAGCTCTCATCCTGCACACTACCAGTATAGCTGTCATCTTGCACACTACCATCATAGCTCTCATCCTGCACACTACCAGTATAGCTGTCATCCTGCACACTACCAGTATAGCTGTCATCCTGCACACTACCATCATAGCTCTCATCCTGCACACTACCAGTATAGCTGTCATCCTGCACACTACCATCATAGCTCTCATCCTGCACACTACCAGTATAGCTGTCATCCTGCACACTACCATCATAGCTCTCATCCTGCACACTACCATCATAGCTCTCATCCTGCACACTACCATCATAGCTCTCATCCTGCACACTACCAGTATAGCTGTCATCCTGCACACTACTATCATAGCTCTCATCCTGCACACTACCATCATAGCTCTCATCCTGCACACTACCATCATAGCTCTCATCCTGCACACTACCAGTATAGCTGTCATCTTGCACACTACCATCATAGCTCTCATCCTGCACACTACTAACATTGCTCTCATCCTGCACACTACCAACATTGCTCTCATCCTGCACACTACCAGTATAGCTGTCATCTTGCACACTACCAACATAGCTCTCATCCTGCACACTACCATCATAGCTCTCATCCTGCACACTACCATCATAGCTTTCATCCTGCACACTACAAGCACAGCTCTCATCCTGCACACTACCATCATAGCTCTCATCCTGCACACTACCAGTATAGCTCTCATCCTGCACACTACCATCATAGCTCTCATCTTGCACACTACCAGTATAGCTCTCATCCTGCACACTACCATCATAGCTCTCATCTTGCACACTACCAGTATAGCTCTCATCCTGCACACTACTAACATAGCTCTCATCCTGCACACTACCATCATAGCTCTCATCCTGCACACTACCAGTATAGCTGTCATCTTGCACACTACCATCATAGCTCTCATCCTGCACACTACCAGTATAGCTGTCATCCTGCACACTACCAGTATAGCTGTCATCCTGCACACTACCATCATAGCTCTCATCCTGCACACTACCAGTATAGCTGTCATCCTGCACACTACCATCATAGCTCTCATCCTGCACACTACCAGTATAGCTGTCATCCTGCACACTACCATCATAGCTCTCATCCTGCACACTACCATCATAGCTCTCATCCTGCACACTACCATCATAGCTCTCATCCTGCACACTACCAGTATAGCTGTCATCCTGCACACTACCATCATAGCTCTCATCCTGCACACTACCATCATAGCTCTCATCCTGCACACTACTAACATAGCTCTCATCCTGCACACTACCATCATAGCTCTCATCCTGCACACTACCAGTATAGCTGTCATCCTGCACACTACCATCATAGCTCTCATCCTGCACACTACCATCATAGCTCTCATCCTGCACACTACCATCATAGCTCTCATCCTGCACACTACCAGTATAGCTGTCATCTTGCACACTACCATCATAGCTCTCATCCTGCACACTACCATCATAGCTCTCATCCTGCACACTACCAACATAGCTCTCATCCTGCACACTACCAGTATAGCTCTCATCCTGCACACTACCAGTATAGCTCTCATCCTGCACACTACCATCATAGCTCTCATCCTGCACACTACCAACATAGCTCTCATCCTGCACACTACCAGTATAGCTCTCATCCTGCACACTACCATCATAGCTCTCATCCTGCACACTACCATCATAGCTCTCATCCTGCACACTACCATCATAGCTCTCATCCTGCACACTACCAGTATAGCTGTCATCTTGCACACTACCATCATAGCTCTCATCCTGCACACTACTAACATTGCTCTCATCCTGCACACTACCAACATTGCTCTCATCCTGCACACTACCAGTATAGCTGTCATCTTGCACACTACCAACATAGCTCTCATCCTGCACACTACCATCATAGCTCTCATCCTGCACACTACCATCATAGCTCTCATCCTGCACACTACAAGCACAGCTCTCATCCTGCACACTACCATCATAGCTCTCATCCTGCACACTACCAGTATAGCTCTCATCCTGCACACTACAAACACAGCTCTCATCCTGCACACTACCATCATAGCTCTCATCCTGCACACTACCAGTATAGCTGTCATCTTGCACACTACCATCATAGCTCTCATCCTGCACACTACCATCATAGCTCTCATCCTGCACACTACCAACATAGCTCTCATCCTGCACACTACCAGTATAGCTCTCATCCTGCACACTACCAGTATAGCTCTCATCCTGCACACTACCATCATAGCTCTCATCCTGCACACTACCAACATAGCTCTGTTACTGGTAACTAAGATCAGAGGTGTCATCCTGCACACTACCAGTATAGCTCTCATCCTGCACACTACCATCATAGCTCTCATCCTGCACACTACCATCATAGCTCTCATCCTGCACACTACCATCATAGCTCTCATCCTGCACACTACCAGTATAGCTGTCATCTTGCACACTACCATCATAGCTCTCATCCTGCACACTACTAACATTGCTCTCATCCTGCACACTACCAACATTGCTCTCATCCTGCACACTACCAGTATAGCTGTCATCTTGCACACTACCAACATAGCTCTCATCCTGCACACTACCATCATAGCTCTCATCCTGCACACTACCATCATAGCTCTCATCCTGCACATTACAAGCACAGCTCTCATCCTGCACACTACCATCATAGCTCTCATCCTGCACACTACCAGTATAGCTCTCATCCTGCACACTACAAGCACAGCTCTCATCCTGCACACTACCATCATAGCTCTCATCTTGCACACTACCAGTATAGCTCTCATCCTGCACACTACCATCATAGCTCTCATCTTGCACACTACCAGTATAGCTCTCATCCTGCACACTACTAACATAGCTCTCATCCTGCACACTACCATCATAGCTCTCATCCTGCACACTACCATCATAGCTCTCATCCTGCACACTACCAGTATAGCTGTCATCTTGCACACTACCATCATAGCTCTCATCCTGCACACTACCAGTATAGCTGTCATCCTGCACACTACCATCATAGCTCTCATCCTACACACTACCAGTATAGCTGTCATCCTGCACACTACCATCATAGCTCTCATCCTGCACACTACCATCATAGCTCTCATCCTGCACACTACCATCATAGCTCTCATCCTGCACACTACCAGTATAGCTGTCATCCTGCACACTACCATCATAGCTCTCATCCTGCACACTACCATCATAGCTCTCATCCTGCACACTACTAACATAGCTCTCATCCTGCACACTACCATCATAGCTCTCATCCTGCACACTACCATCATAGCTCTCATCCTGCACACTACCAGTATAGCTGTCATCCTGCACACTACCATCATAGCTGTCATCCTGCACACTGCCATCATAGCTCTCATCCTGCACACTACCATCATAGCTCTCATCCTGCACACTACCAACATAGCTCTCATCCTGCACACTACCAGTATAGTTGTCATCTTGCACACTACCATCATAGCTCTCATCCTGCACACTACCATCATAGCTCTCATCCTGCACACTACCATCATAGCTCTCATCCTGCACACTACCATCATAGCTCTCATCCTGCACACTACCAGTATAGCTGTCATCCTGCACACTACCAGTATAGCTGTCATCCTGCACACTACCATCATAGCTCTTATCCTGTGACTACTTCTTCGGCAATTACATGTGTGTTTAGTTACATATATGTATGTATGTCCTACTCTATGAGTTGTTTGACCCCAGTTGAAATGGCCTCTTGGTAGGAAGTATATATACAAAATTTCCCTAAGTACTGACTACAAATAAATTAATAGAGTAATTCTCAGGCTGCTGGCGAGTGGCTCATCTCACTATCTACCAATATAATCCTGGGATGAAGACCACAAGTAGCAGAGCTTATAATAGCATAAGAATTTGATGTTTAATTTCAGATCTTACTTTACTGCACTTCTCATTAATAAAATGAAACTAAATTTTATCTTTTGGGATTAAAATAGTATTTGTTTTAATATGCCCAAAACGGTGTGCTCTATCTATAAATCCAACATTCTGTTTGCAACTCATCTTGTATGTATATACTTTTACATACAATTTACAAAAACATGTATAAACATCACACACAGAGATCACACTAACGTGATGCATCAAATGAACAAATCATTGTGCCTCGGAGAGGCTACGGGATCCAGTAAGTTCAGTAGAACTTCGGTTTCAACCCTTTTAACCCTGTCGTAGCTCAGTCGATTAAGGCAGTGTCTGGGATGCTCCCGGACGCAGGTTCGAATCCTCGTCACGGCCCTTGTGGATTTGTTCATGTATAAACATTTATTTATTATTACTTGTAGCTATAATTAATTGCATTCAAATAAATAATAGTTGCAGTCTACAATTTAATTGAATGATTGACAGTCAGCTACCATATGTATGTATTAGTAACAATGTCTATACAAACGTGAGGCCACCCATGTTATAGTTATATAAATAATTACAGCTAAATGTAATTATTTCCTGTGTGATAATACTAATGCAATGTAAACTGGTAAGTGAAGAGAATGAGAAAGAAATGAACAAATGTGTTGGAGGTGCTCTCCTGATGATTTAGGCAGCTACCACAATTGCTGTGAATTGTTAATTAAATAGGACAACTTTGCACAGTTTAATAATTGAGCTGTTTACTGTAACATATAACCAGTAACACATGACAGGTCATGTCACAAATATGCATCCAAAGTGTCAATAGTTGAAGTATCAACGTACAACTTCCAAGTAAGAACCCTTATTAAGGGCACATTCTAACTACAGAATTATCGAGAAAGTAAAGTGGGAAGAGTCTACTTACCATACAGAGGACGTCGGAGTAACAGGGGTTTGAAAGAACGATGAAGTCCCCAGGGTTGAGCAACATCTCAAAGGCCATAGACAAGCCTGCCTGACACCCAACTGTAACTAACAAGTCACATTTTTCCCATTGTGGTGGAGAGTGAAACTGCTTTGTCATAGCTTTGAGTTGCTTCACCAGAGGTATATACCTGCATGTGTAAAAACAAAACATTTTGCCATGTATGAAAGGCACATATAGACTTAAACTATAAAAATATTGCTATAAAATATAAATACAATATTTAGTACATGTAAAATATTTATCTGCATGGAAATGTTTCAAAGATATGATATATATTAAGAGAATCCCAGGAATCATTTAGATTATGAGATATTGAGATATTCGACTTTCAAATGTCCAGTTATTACAACTATGCATTTGTATTCGAGAGCAGGTACTTCACCCTCTTCCCCACATATCCTCTACCCTCTTCAGAGTCAATGTGTTGTTTGGAAGTTGTCCCACAGAGATGGTGCGGTGTAACCTATGTTTTGTTTCGGTTTGTCTGCAACCATTAAATGTATTTATTTATTTATTTATTTATTTATGTACAAGAAGGTACAATAGGTTGTGAAAGTATACATTTTGGCGATAAGTAGTAAAGTCTTGCAAGACCACTAGCATGCGTAGCATGCTTGTGGTTTGGTCATTTACCTTATTTACCAGTGGGCAACTAACACTATTGGCCTCGACGAGGACAGGAAGCCGGCGGCTTGTCGAAGGTCTCCCCATTTGCCTTGGTGATCTTTTCCAGGTTGATTTTTAACACAGTTTTGGCATTTAATGCTTCGGCGGGTAGGCGGATCCTTGTGTTTAATTACCGTGTGCGTGAAAAAGCATCTCCTGTTCTCAGTTCTACATTGTGGCTTCTTGAGCTTGAAACCTTTGCTCCTTGTTTGTGTTACATCTGACCTTTTGAAGAAATTATCAGGATCAACATCCTCCAATTTGTTCAGAATTTTGAAAGTTTCAATGATATCTGCCCTGTCATGTCTGGTTTGTAGTGTTATTAGGCTTGTGGCCCTCAATCGTTCCTGATATGGGAGATGACTTAGCTCTGGAATGATTTTTGTTGCCCGGTGTTACACTTTCCCCAGAGCAGCTATGTCCTTCTGAGAGTAAGTTCTCCGTGTTTGGATATAGTAATCCAAATGGGTGTGCACCAGAGATTTATACAGTTGAATCACTGACTTGTTTTTCTTAAAGTCAAAGGCACGTTTGATTATTCCGAAGATTGGTTAGCTCTTCTGCCTGCTACTCCCACCTGTTGTGCAACTTTTAGCGAGTGGTGTCTTTTGGCTCCAAGGTCCATTTCTTCATTAATCTGCTATATTGCAATGACATTGATTTGGTAGTTGTGGCATTGGTTGTTATGCCCCGCATGCAACTTGCATTTGTCAATATTAAAAAGCATTTGCTAGTTTTCTGACCATTTATGGAGTTTGTTACGAACCCGACTCCATCGTCGGTGTATGGAGTAGCAACGTCAACGCCATCTGTGAGTCTGCTCCCTAAACCCCCCACTAAATGGACGACGCCATCTGATGGTGGCAGTATGATACCTGCAAGAGACGCTAGATTCCTGCTCTGGTCAGCCCGAAGAGTCGCTGTTGCTGACCTCTGGTGAGGTGGCGCCTAGAAAATCAGCGCCATCTATTGGGATATGAGTTGTATGTCAATGTCAGATCCGTAAGTGGTATTTCCTAGTGTCCCAAGTACTGGCCAGTTTACTGATGACGTCTGTATCCACAGAGGCGACGTAGGACTGCAGTGGTACGGAGACAAGCAGTCTACTCAGGGCAGCCTATTATCTCTCTACTCCATTCTGCTTTACGTGAGCAGTGAGCCGCCGCTGAAGAGGAACTGAGTAGTATCAGCTGTCTGCCTGTGAAGTGGCAGTGACAGAATTCGGCGTATCCCGGGACTGGCTAGAGGAAGTAACGACCGATAGTGAGGTGCTATGGAGGCAACCTGTCCTCTCAAAAAGAACGTCACTTTTCGCTGGTATGCGCACTATGGCCAAATTTGGACGTAATTTGAAATGAAATCGACTCACAAAAGTGACGTTCTGTTCCGTTTTCTATTTGAGCCGTCCGGCCTACGCGCAGAGGTTATAAGAGGACACTTTAAATTAACGTTTTTCATAACGTTTTGAAACTTTATGAGAATTTCCTGCCCACCTAACCTATCAGAGGACTCTTAACTTACTGTTGTTGTAAAAAAAATCCCTAATTTATTTTAATTTTTTTTCTCATTTTCAAATTACGTCCAAATTCGGCCATGCGGACAAACGGCCAAAAGCGACGTTCTTTTTAAGAGGACAGGTTGTAGGAGTGTAACTAGCTAGTTGCAAGAAGCTCCTGCCATGGGTTCGCTACCATTGTATTTGTTCGTGTAGAGGCCCAGCAGCGTGAGGCTGATGTTCTCTGCCAGCACCAGGCTGGAGAGTGATTGTGGGCGTTCACAAGGAGCACCTAGTGAGACTGTAGATAGGCTGGCCCATGACTAGGGTAGACTCGTTGGTGTTTCCCAGTACTGGTTGAGGACGGTATTGTGTGTTGAGGAAGCACGGAAGTTGACAAGGCTGCATTGCATGAGCATCGAGGAGCGCTTAGTGTCCTATGAGAGCGACACGTGTGTATATATCAGTGTAGTAATACTTCGTTTATGATTCTATTGAAGGTGATGGGAAAGTGATAATATGTGAATATATTGATAAAGGATGAAGCGTCGTATTACTCTCAACTCCCCCCCTTATTTTTGTACTTGCATTACCTAGCCTACTCCTTGAAAACCACTACCGACTTGGGGTCGGATACTAGTACTTTGGTTCCTCCAGCAAAGAACCCAGTTGCATCCCATAATGGCCGTAACAGAGTTCATGTAGATCTCTTAGTAAGGCTTCAATATCATTATCACTTCCCACTTTACCATAAATGTTTGTCATCTGCAAATTTGATGATGTGGTTTGTAATATTCACATCCATGTCATTAATGTATATGACAAAAGGGTTGCCCCAAAATGAACCCCTGAGGGACCACTTACCACATTTCTCCATTCAGATTCATTCTTATATTTGGCCGGTTAGAGACTTGGCCGCAGGGACCTTGATTCCCGGAACCACTGCAAGGTAACCGCAAGGTAACCACCTCTGCCTGCTTGCGACTAACTGTGACTGGATGCAATGTAACTGGCAGTGAAATCTCTGAAGGGAAACGCGTAATCACTGACCTAGCGAGAGCAAGGTTGTCACGTGTTATGACCCCATGTAGCCTGGTGGAACGAGTCTACCCCAGTGAGTGTTATTTTGCCTTCCGGACCTGACTGAGAGGTCAGAGGAAAGATGTATATATATTAAATATAATAAACGTCAGTGCATAATTAACAAATATGAGCAGAGGAAGAGCATTTAAATAAGTGACATGAAAAGAGATGTAGGTACTTTGGAGACACGAAGTGGCGCTAGAAGGACGTCGTGACCTCACTTGAGCTACAGCAGTCGTCAGGGGTGGTTGTACTATGTTGATCTCCTGGGAGGAAGGAGAATATATATCCCTGTGATATTGGTGGAGCGAAGGCTGATTGTTTGCAAGTATGAGGAAACTGTTGGGGACTCCTTCTATCCATTTCAAAGTTGAGTGGGAATCTAATTCCCTCCTTCCTTTTCTTGACGTTCACGTTCACAGCTCTGTGTCCGGGTTCTCTTTCTCTGTCTACCGCAAACCCATGCATAGTGGCATGTACATTCACTTATTTTTCTACCATCCTCCTTCTGTTAAGAAAAGTGTCCTCGTCTCTCTCTTCCTCCGGGCTCTACGCCTCAGCGACCCTCAGCTTCTCGATTCTGAAATTGCCTTTATCTACAAATCAATCTCTCGCCTTGGTTACCCTTTGCATTTCATCAACTGTGCCTACTCTCAAGAAAAACGCAATTTCTTTCATCCTAAACCTGCTTCCAACAATAGTAGCACTGTACTATGCCTTCCCTTCATATCTGAACTCAAAACCTTTACCAATACCTTTCGTCCTCTTGACATAAAGCTCACCTTTCGCCAAACTAACACACTTCGTAGCAATCTAGTTCACACTGCTCCTCCTGCTTCTAATGCTGCTGGTGTCTACTCTATTTCCTGTTCGTCTTGTCCTCTCCAATACTTTGGCGAAACTGGCCGTACACTGAAGGACAGACTTAAAGAACACAAGAGTAGTGTTAAGTCTGCAGACACTAACAATGCTCTCTTCTGTCATGTGAGGGATTCCAATCATCCTATTGATTGGTCTTCCTCCAAAATAATCTTTACTGCCTCTACTCTACACAGACGCCGTCTTGTTGAATCGGCGCTAATACACAATGTACCCAACATGAACTTGAGTCCTGGCTTTGTTGCTGTGGACTCTTCCCTTTCACAGTATATAATTAAATGCTCTAATCTTTCTAACAAACGTGACCTAACATAAGCTTACCCTTCTATTTATCTTTCTTTCTCTTTCCTTTTCTTTCTCTCCTCTCTTTTTACTGTTCACTGTTTTCTCTTACGTTCCCTTACTATCCTCTTCTTATTCCTATTACTATCTCCTCTCATTCGGCGGTTTTAATAGGAGCTGCCTCGTATGGGCCAATAGGCTCTCTTCAGTTCTTACTCCTACTACTATCCCCCTACATCTTATTTTGCTCCTCACCGCTCTTGCCTATTTATTGCCTGCTTCTACTTCATCACAATCGACTTGAGAATGGTCCAGGACGGACCGAAACGTCGTCGTCCCTTCACCTTCTAGTGTGTGGTCTGGTCAACATAATTTAGCCACGTTATTGTGACTCATCGCCTGCAGTGTGTGGGGTGGTAGTGGTAGTGTGTAGTGTTGGTGAGGTAGTGGTAGCGTGTGTTGTAGTGTAGTAGACGTAGTGTGTGGTGTAGTGTGGTAGACGTAGTGTGTAGTGTGGTAGTCGTAGTCTGTGGTGTTGGTGTGGTAGTGGTAGTTCGTGGTGTTGGTGAGGTAGTGGTAGTGTGTGGTGTTGTTGTGGTAGAGGTAGTGTGTGGTGTTGGTGTGATAGACGTAGTGTGTAGTGTCAGTGTTGTAGAGGTAGTGTGTGGTGTAGTGTGGTAGTTGTAGTGTGTGGTGTAGTGTCGTAGAGTTAGAATGTGGAG